ATTAATAGTGTAATAGACTAAAGCCATTGACTTAGATACTTAAAATAGGTCAACTGTATGTTAGGTGAACTATATATCCCAATAAAGCTGAAAATAACCTCTAAAAGGATCCTTGAATTCACACTGAAGAAAACGAAAAGTACTAACAAGCCCCTTTGCAACAGTCTCACCAGCAGCCCACAGCCATCTACCCCTACCCCTGGTTTAATCTTCGACCAAAATACTCCGCTCCCAAGGGCGGGAGAGGGCTGAGTATGAAATGAAGTACACACACACACTTTCACTCAAGGAGAAAAGCATTTTAATAGAGAAAAACACAACTCCTACTCCACACACTAAGCCACAGACGTCACATTACGGCTGTCACTTTTCTTACAGGCTGGAATGTCCAAACAGCTCAAAACTGCACAAAGGTTAAAAATCAGGGAAGTGCACAATCATCAGGAGAATGGGAAGGTGCCAGGAGGGGTCAGGAGCAGTGAAGAGTGGGAACCCAGGCACAAAGGACCATGGGGAGGGACTGGTCGGGAGACAAGAGAGGTCAGCACTCTGCAAATGAAGGCTGTGGCCACAGCCAGGACTCACCCACCGGCGCCGGCTGACCCCAGGCCCCACAGCCACTCTACCAGGGAGGCGGTGCGGCAGCCACAACTTGCAGCCCCTTCCAGAAAGACAGGAATGCCTCTGAGGCTGACTTTGGCTTGAGGACCACCCCCCCAGAAGCCCTTCCTTAGACCACACAGCCCACCAGGACACCGCCACCCATACCCCAGCCCCACAGCCCTCGGGGTCAGACGGTGGCTCTGCCACCCTTACCAGCATTTCCCTAATAACTGCACAGTTCATCCTGTCTTGGTATCTTCTCAGAGTACCCAGACTAACGCTAGAATGCTATTCAGAGGCTAGTTTTTGGATGATGTCTCAGAATACAGCCAAGTAGGGAGCGCCACGAATTGGTCCCTCCACCAAACCAACCAGTAAGCTGGCAAAAACAGAGAGAATCAAGTTTTTTCAGCACTCTGGAATCTAATCAAAAACCTGCCACAACCAGGGGAGTGCTTAGTGAAGGAGGAGGCTACTAAATTTCAGCATTTAAGAAACCTCTAGGGACCTCCCTGGTGGCACAGTGTTTAACAATCCGCCTGCCAATGCAGGTGACACAAGTTTGATCCCTGGTCCAGGAAGATCCCACATGCCGCAGAGCAACTAAGCCCACGAGCCACAACTACTGAGCCCACGTACCACATCTACGGAAGCCTGCGCGCTCTAGGGCCCGCGTGCCGCAACTACTGAGCCTGTGTGCCGCAATTACCGGAGCGCACGCACCTAGAGCCCATGCTCCGCAATGAGAGAAGCCACCGCAATGAGAAGCCTGCAAACCGCAATAAACAGTAGCCCCCGCCCACCGCAACTAGAGAAAGCCCACGCACAGCAACAAAGACCCAATGCAGCCATAAGAAAAAAAGAAAAAGAAACCTCTGTTAGGTCACTGGCTAAATGCTAAGATAATAGAACAGAGACTTCAGTGACCAAACATAACAGGGAATACAGTCGTTGCAAAAAAAAGGTCTGGAAAAAGTCACTAAATAAAGAGACGACTAACAGTCTTCAACAGCAACAGCAGCAAACTGCTGGCAAGGGAGGAGAACCTGATTTCCAGAGTTATAACATAATAAAATGTCAGAATGTCCAGTTTTCAACCAAAAAATAACAAGGCACATGAAGAAACAGAAAACTATGGTCCATTCACAGGAAGAAAAAGAAATTGACAGAAACCACCCCTGAGGAAGGCTAGACAGTGTCTTACAAGACAAATACCCTAAATCAATTTTCTCAAATAAGCTCCAAGAGCTAAAGGAAACAAGAGAACAATGTCTGTAAAAACACAGAATGTCAATAAAGAGACAGACTATAATAGAGATCACAAAGAAATTCCGGAACTGAAAATAGAGTAACTGAAATGAAAAATTCAGCTGAGGAAGGAGAACAACAGCAGATCTGAGCAGGCAGAAGGAAGGACCAGAGAACCTGAAGACAGGGCAATCCAAACTATCCAGTCTGAGGAGCAGGAGAAAAGAGAGTAAAGAAAAATGAACAGTAAGTGTTAGACCCATCACCTCTGGAGCCTACTCCAGGACAAGACCACTGTCGCCTGCACGATCTCTCCCAGGCAGGAGACAGCACAGCTCCACGACCCACTGGCCACGCAAAAGGTCTGCAGAGAGGCTCAACTCATGCGGAGGGCACCACAGGCAAGAGGCGGCCAGCCACTCAAGTGAAGATCATGGGCCAACTCACCGTATGTGACATCTCAGTTTTTTGGCCACAGCTTGACACTTTTCATCTACAACAACAACAACCACCATGCACTCTCATTCTGGCTGCTTGTGGTCGGTGGACACTGCTGACATCGTGAGATACGACAGACACACACATGCCAGTGGGTCTCAGGCATGAAAAGCAGAGAGAGCGCTTTGGTCTCCTTCAAGTTAAACTGGAGTTGGCACCACACAGGCGGAGACTTCATCTCGACCCACCACACCCTCACATACCCACACACCCTCACACATCTATTTTCACAAATAAATGTGTAAGTCACTTAGGATGGAACAAGAGTAAATAAAAGCACAGTAGTACATCTCTGTGGCCTTGGGGTAGGCAATGACTTGTTAGATATGACACCAGGGGCACAAGCAACAAAAGAGAAGACTGATAACCAGACTTAAAACTTACAACTTCAGTGCATCAAACAATACCATCGGAAAAGTGACAAGACAACCACAGAGGAGAGAAAATATCCACAAATCATACATCTGATAAAAGACATATCTGTAAAGAACTCATAACAATAAAAAGACAAATAATCCAATTTTTTAAATTAGCAAAGGACGTGAATAGACATTTTGCCAATGAACATGTCCAAATGGCCAAGAAGCACATGAAAAGACGCTCAACACCACTGGTCAGCAGGGAGAGGCGAACCAAAACCACAGTGAGATACCACTTTACACCCACCAGGATGGCTATTTTCAAAAACAAAAAAAAACAGAGAAAAACAAGTGTTGGAGAGGATGTGCGGAAACTGGAACCCTCATACGCAGCTGGAGGAATGTAAAGTGGTACAACCATTTTGGAAAAGGGTTTGCAGTTCCTCAAAAAGTTCAAGACAGATTTAGCATGTGATCCAGCAATTCCACTCATAGGTCTATACCCAAGAGAACTCAAATCACATGTCCACACAAAAACTTGTATGCAAATGTTCAGGGCAGCATTCTTCATAATCACCAAAGGTGAAAACCCAAATGTCCATCAACGATGACGGGATAAACAAATGTGTATCCATACAATGGAATATTATTCAGCCATAAAAAGGAATGAAGTACCACTGCTACGTGGTGCAGTAGGGATGAATGTTAAAAACATTACACTAGGGCTTCCCTGGTGGCGCAGTGGTTGAGAGTCCGCCTGCCGATGCAGGGGACACGGGCTCGTGTCCCGGTGCAGGAGGATCCCACGTGCTGCGGAGCGGCTGGGCCCGTGGGCCACGGCCGCTGAGCCTGCGCGACCAGAGCCTGTGCTCCGCAACGGGAGAGGCCACAGTGGTGAGAGGCCCACGTACCGCAAAAAAAAAAACATTACACTAAGTGAAAGAGGTCAGACAAGGAAGACCACTACTGGAGATTCCATTTACATAAAGTGTCCAGAAAAGGCAAAGTTACAGAGACAGAAAAAGATCAGTGGTTGTCTAGGGCTGGTGGTGTTGAGGGAAAATGGGGAATGACTTTTCCTGAGTATAGGGTTTCTTTGAGGGAAAATGAGATTAGATTAAGATGGTGGTTGCACAACTCTGTAAATATACTATAAACCACTGAACTGAACACTTTAAATGGGTGAACTTTATGGTATACAAATCGTATCTCAGGGATTTCCCTGGCGGTGCAGTGGGTAAGACTCCGCACTCCCAATGCAGGGGGCCCGGGTTTGATCCCTGGTCAGGGAACTAGACCCCAAATGCGTGCTGCAACTAAGAGTTCGCATGCCACAACTGGGAGCCCACATGCCACAACTAACGAGCCCTGGAGCCGCAACTAACGAGCCCACGGGCTGCAACTAAGACCTAGCGCAACCAAATAAACAAATATTTTTTTAAAAATCGTATCTCAGTAAAGCTGCTACAAGAATAAGCAGAAAGAGCCCATAGAAACCAAGGGTCCTCTGCCCTGCTTGTGCTTCACAACGCCAAGCACACAGCCAGCACCTGCAATACCCCCACAACTCAGCTGCTGAGCTGCACTCTTCTTTGCACAGACGTCCTTGTTCCGTACAGAAGTCGCCCTCGGGGTACATGGCGTCTTTGGTGACACACTCCTGCACAGGGCCCTCTCCATCCTTCACAGGCATCCCTCCCTTCTGTCCACAGAGGCACAGCGGGCGGCTCCCAGGGACACCCACCACAGACAAGCGCCCCCATGCGGCCGGGCCCGAGAGCTGGCACGCACAGGCCTGGAGTTCGGTGGTCTATCTGCACCAGCCGCACTGTGCCCCTGCTCAGGCCCACTGCCGAGCTTCCTCCCCATCCCCTCACTGGCGTGAGCCTTGTTCCCAAAAACCATGATGTCACCCCAGGGGCTAAGCACAGTGGCAGTGCACACATTCTTAATGGGCAATAGCACCCTCACGAAGGTGAAACTGGTTCTGGGGGACAAGACAATCTCAGACATCACAACAGCTCGCGGCCCTCCAAATCCAGACCTACAGTGTACGTGTGCTATTAAACTTTCACAGCAGGGAGAAGAGGCATCAGGAATCAGAAAGGCCAACATAAGAAAGAAAGCTGAGAGCACAGGTCTGGAGGGCTCTCTCCTGCAACACTCATGATGGTCAGGGAGGGCAGAGGCGTGGTATGTGCTGACAGCCGGCCACACTGGGGAGGGGGCCGGATGAAGCACCTCGACACGCATAAATGGTCTTGACCAGACAAAACTGAGCTTCATACTCACCGTCCGGGAGTCGGGAAGGGAGCAACAGGCCTCGTCTGCTCAGTTCCGCCAGCGCCAGACACCCGCCATGCCAGGCGTTGTCTGTCTCCTGGAAACTGAAAGCACAAAGAGCCTGAGACCCAGCACGATGCCCCCCACAGCCCAGAGTGAAAGTCCACCCCCGGGCCAAAAGCCTCACTAAAACCCTGAGTGAGTTTATAAAATATCAGTCAGTAACGAGATAAAGTACTCCAAATCAGCTGAAGATAACGGCCATGTTCAGGTCTCCGGAGAATGAGTAAAAATCCTGGGTCAGCCTCACACACCCCAGGAAGAGTAGCCCACACACGTGCCCACTGCACCTTCGGGCCAGAGCAGCTAGCTCTCTCAGCGGTTTAAGCAGTTGCGCCGCTCAAGAAACGCTGGGCTTACAACACAGTGACTACACCAAATGAAGGTTAGGAAAATGTTCACAGGAAGGGCAAGGAGACCCCCTTTTCATGGAGCCCCTGCTGGCTTGAATGATGAATATTGAGATTAGGAAGTTAGAATCAAACAGCATATACAGAACTTGTTTTGTACTGTTTGAAACAGACTTTCAATAAACAACTGAAAAGCCAGTCAACTCATAAGCAAAATTTCGTATTTAATAAAAAATTCCTGAAGTGGTTTGGAAGCTCTCATGTTTAAAGGTGCAGCTCTGGCATAATAACTAGCGAGAATAACCCTTTCTTACATCAACAACTGCTTCTTACATCAATAACTGTTCTGAGAGTTTCCACGCCTGGCTGCCAAAATAAACATGGAAATATACTTCACCCAAAAAACCAGAGAAATTACAGGACTCTTTCCAATTCTGAATAAATTAATTTGATGGCAAAGAAATGTTTAGGAAAACCAAATAAATTGCATCACTGGCTGGCAACAAACGCACGAATACTCAGATAGGATAGAAGTTAGGCTTATCTTTTCACTCAAAATACACTTAGCAGTGTCTCCCACGTGCCAGGCCCTGCTCTGGGCTCTGCGGAGACACGCTGACCAAGACAGACACAAAAGCTGCCCTGGACCTCGCCAGCAACCAGTGACTCAATTCCAATTATAACTTTCTTAAGTTCCAGATGTTTATCAAATGTCTGTCCCAAAGACTATATGACCGTTGCCACAATTTAATATTGCACTTTGTGTACTTCAGGATTTCAGTTGGAGAGAAGTGCTTTCTGCTTTCCATAAAAGATTTAATAACATTTGGAAGAACCTGATAAAAGGTCAGCAGTACGATGACTCACTTATCACTAAAACAATCGCCAGTCACGCCATCGTTTCTCAACTAAACGTGTGTGCGCTGTAGCTTGTCAACAGCTGTGGACAGTGCAGGACCTTGCGTCAGGCTGTAAAATGCCTGTGGCCCAAGGCGGCCGAGGAGGACCACGGTGTGCTGCCTGCACTGCTGCCTCTGCTCTGCCCACTCCAGGAGGACGTGGACCCTCTCCAAGGTCAACCTGCACAGCGGGGATGGACGCAGACACTAGGACGCAGAGTACCGAGTACCGCCAGAGTGCCCAGTGCCTGAGGGCAAGCTCCTGTCCCAGAGCCAAGCCCCAGACGACCGTGGGAGGGCCCGGGGTCTCAGAGGAGTGGAGACAACAGCAAACAGAAGGGCCGAGACAGCAGGCTCAGGAGAGAGGGGCCAAGATGGGCTCAGGGCCACTGGCCTCCCATCGGCAAGGGCACCCAATGAGGACCATCTGGAAGAGCAGAGTGGGGCGGCGTGGAGGGCGTGGGATGAGCGAAGAAGACGTTCTTATCCTTCCACCCACCTCATACCCACTGTCCCTAGAAGGACACGGAGAAAGGGGGACGGTGCGTGCAGGGTGCAGAGCAGAGGAGGACACCCCATCACTTTCATCTCCTTCTGAACTTTTAACTGCAAACAGCACTAGAACTCAAGGAAAAGCCTGGGAAGGAGCCGTGAAGAGCATTTACTGCTGAGAGGGGGCTGCTCCCGCGGCCACAGCAGCACCACCATGGCACACCCAGGACCCAGGCCGCAGGGCTGAGGCCCGTCTGCTGACTGGAGAAACCCGCGGGCTCAGTGCAGATGCCAGACACAGAGGACCCGGCAAGGCCTCCCGGGGCAGGCTGCTTGCACCCACCCTGGACTGGTGGGTCTGGGCACCATCTCTGGGATCCTGTCCTGAGGCCATCGAGGGGCTAACACGTGGTTTTCTAAGTGGTGGGAGGGGTAGGGGAGTGCAGGTACTGAAGGGCACCTGCACATTCTGGGGCGGGACCTGGGAGGGGAGCACAGGGCCTGAGGAGGTCCTCTGGGGCTCAGTGGGAGGCCCCAGCCACATAATCTGGCCCAGAAACAGGGCAGGGAGCAAGGTAACAGTCCCAGGAGTCGGGTGTTCTTACATGTAAAGGAATTAATGTCCTATTTCTGACCCACTGCAGAAATGGCTGGCAGCTCACCACATACCCCAGGAGGACATAAAAGGAGGAAGGAGACCAGAGCGGCCTCTGTGCTGGGTCGCCAGCCGGCCCAGCCACCCTGCCAACCTCACACCCCAGCCCAGCTGGTACCTGCTTCTCCCGGCTGCGCTGACTCCTTTCTATGGCCTGTTCTGCAATCAGGAGTTTCACGCCCACTGTGTGAGGTCCTGTCCAGGGAAAGACTGCCTCCCCGAGGGCCCACTCAGGCCCCTTCACTCAATGTTGCATTGGGCTTCTGGCCTTGGGAATCTGGAGCAGTGAGACCATTTCTACCCTCCACAACCCAGACACAAAGATCAGAGGAATTCATTAAAACGACAAAATAAAGGCAAAGCAGCATTTGGAGATTAACTAGGACGAGTGAAACTGGACTAAGGTTGCAGGCCGAGAGCAAGGAACATACATCTGACCAGAGAAGCATGTTTTGGGAGAAAAGATGCTAGCATTCAGGGGAGACACGTTGGGGTGAAGGGCTCACAGCCCTTGAGGCAGAGGCACAGCGGCTAGAGAAGTAACAGGGTTTGAGAGCCGGACGGGAGGGGACCCAGGAGCGCATGGGAGGGGAGACTGCAGAAGGAGCAGCAGAAGGAAGGGCTGGACAAAGATGGCTTCAAATAGCCAGAGTGCTGTGCAGAAACACTCTAAGGAAGGAAAGAGGAAAGCGAAGTGCTTGAGGCAGACAGCCACCCCAGGGGAAGGGGCTGGGAGGAAAGGCCGGAGGCCCTGGCTCCTCCATCCTCCCAAACCCCCCGCGCCCCTGGCTGCCCTGAACCCACACCTCTTCACCCAGGACCAGTGGGGTGCCCGTGTCATCTCGTGCCCATCAGCAAGCCCCCGAAAAAGAACTCCAGGAAGACACTCTACAACAAGCCAGCAGAGTCATCGTGCAGACCCACGGTTCTAGAGAGTCCCGCGAAGCAGCACGTGTCTCCTGCCACAAGAAGACACAGTGGCCACACATGCAACATTACTCTGAAACAGTAGTGTGAAACTGTTTCCTGCAGTCCTTAAACCTCACCAATCAGGCTCGGGGCCCAGGGCAGGAGAAGCCCGCGCCCCTGGGACCCCGTGGGCCAGCTTGGTGACCGAGGCCTGAGTGCCCATGAACACCAATAGCACAGCTCTCACACGCATGGGGGCACCAAGAAGAGAAGCAACCGGCTGACAAGGGTGGGACCACAAATGGGGGCCGAACACAACACCCATTCTCAAATCACCTGCTTCTGAAAGCAAGGGGCAAGCAGAGCAAGAGTCCTCGTGAGCAGCTGCACTAACGCGGCCCCCCCAGCCCACCTGAACTGCACTAACGCGGCCCCCCCCCTCAGCCCCCCTGCGCCGCCCCAACCCCGGCCCCCCCCCTCAGCCCACCTGCGCTGCACTAACGCGGCCCCCCTCAGCCCACCTGCACTGCTCGGGGCTCTGCCCTTTGCCCCTCGCCTGCAGGCCCCAGGCTCAAACTCCCACACCTGCCACCTGCACCTCCCGGCCCACACCTGCACCTCGGGCAGGCCGCGGGTCCCCAGGATCCCCAGGATCCCCTGAGAGGTGAGGACGGATGCAGCACAACCACTGGCACATGTGGCTATGAGATTTAAATCTGATGAAATTAAATAAAATTTGGAATTCAGACCTCAGTCACACTAGCCTCTTTTAAGATCTCAACAGCCCCAGATCTAGAACAGGCCGTCATCACAGAAAACTCTCTCGGACAGAGCAGCCCTGGTTTCATTCCAATGAAAACAGGTTTCCTTGAAGGATACGTTTCTATGTGTGGACACGCGCAAAACTGACCTCCTTAAGGTTTTTAAATGTAACGGAGCCTCAGCTGACAAAAGAAATATATCAGGGTGGGATGAATTGGGAGATTAGGATTAACATATATACTAATATGTATAAAATAGACAACTAATGTATAGCACAAGGAGCTCCACTTCACTGTACAGTAGAAACTAACACAACATTGTAAAACAACTATACCCCAATTTTTTTTAAAAAAAGATGTATTAGGGGCACACACGTGCACACACACACACACAAGAAATATATCAGAAATAACTAGAGTCCTCAAATTTAACTTCAAAAGGAAAAGAAATGGCTTCAGAGAATCTGATAACTAGCTCAACTGAAAGAAAACGTAGGAGGAAGTAAGGAAAGAAAAGCCACTGCTCTTACCCAGAAACACATCTACCCCTCTGATCTCCCCACATACCTGAAACAGTCCAGCACAGACCCGGCCACATCATCCGCCAGCTCTTTGGGAAGTCTTCCAGCCAACCTACCGATTCTGAAAAGCAGAAGCAACGTCGTCAGCATCAGCAGCCCGTCGAGGGCACACGCTACACTAGGAACGTCCCGAGTAACTGTCCTTCTCTCCAGAGGATGGCAAAGAGGCTGATTCTGCTCCATAAAAGCCACCTGCCCCATCAGGGAGCCCATCACACTGACATACAGAGACAGGACAGGCATCTGGGGGACCAAGGCAAAGGGAGCCCACAGGGCAGGTGCACTTCTCAGACAGTCAACGGCTCCCAGCTCAGGCCACCAAGGTCCATCCCCTGCTGCATGCCAACCGGGCCGGCTTCCATCAAGCCACTGCCCAGGCTGGGTCCCGGCCAGCGGCGCCCCAGAAAGACCCACCCTCCCAGCCCATCGTACTCCAAGCAGACAAGACTTTGGGCTCCGAGGTTGGCCAAAAGCCCCCGTGTGAGCCTCCTCTCCCCGGCATTCGCTATGTGAGTGGATTGGCAAGGACACCCGTAACCTCTGTGGGGAGGGCCCACGGGCACCTTCACCCATTTTCCTTTTCTCCACAACATCTCCTTTGTACTCTGTCCCCTAACCCGCCCTGGCCCCACTGCGTGTGCTGGGGCGCCTGTGTTGGCTGTTCCCTCAGGCATAGCAGAGGGGGATGCCAGCCCCTCCTGGGGGCTCTGGAATCAAGTGAGGCCGTGCAGCATCTGCTCTCTACATGGGGGGCCGCCCCTGGCTGTGGAGGCAGGAGGTGGGGGTCGTGGCAGTGAGGACGTGAGGAGCAAGGAAAGGAACACCTGAAGGTAAAAAAGGCAAACGTGCTCATTCCAGCCAGAAGGGCAAGAACATGAAGAAGCCACTGACCAACCTCAGTGATTTTCTTGAAAATTAGAACAAAAAGCAGTAAATGTAAATTAGGAAAAAATCATTCTACCTTTTAAAACTCTGGGAGCTGTTTGCAGCCCTCCAATTCCACAGGAAGTACTGAATGATTAAGGAGACTCAGTAGACCTGCAGGCATCTGGGGCATAAGCTGTGAGCCCCCAGCCCAGCACCCCGACCAAGTGCAGTCACCTACCCTTTGGCCGCAGACCACCGCACAATCGTGTCCTTGTCCTTCAGCCCAACCAGCAGCTGCTCTGGAAGAACACAGGAAGGCCGGTCTGTGAGCCCCACGGAACCACCCAGAGTTTTAGATGAGCTCTCAGTTCCCAGCTTTAAGGTAACCCACCCTGCACACCACTCAAAACAGTACCATAAAGGCAATTACATGAAGAATCTCAATTCTAATCACAATAAAAGGACATTTCCTTCTGTATGTCTTTAAGTCATCACTTAAGGGCAATTTCTGTCTTAGCTCCTAACAGTCACTGGGCAGAGAGCACCAGCGAGGAAGGCCAGAGGCCGATGAGGGAGGCTTCCCAGAGAAACCAGCTTCTGCCAGAGGCTGCAGAGAGCAGCTCTCCTAGGGACAGGGTCTGAGAAATGCTCAGCCTCTAGGAAAGGCCACACAGAGGGCTCCCAAGCAGTACAGGCCTTGCAAGCCGGTCAGTGGAAGCCCTGGTGGAGGGCACATGGCAGCACAGGAAGCCTGATGCAGAGGCAGGACGGAGCCTGTGGAGGTGCACAGGTGCACTGCGACCAGGGCGGTCTAGGGCCGCAACGGGGGGCGGGGAGACAGCAGATGCACACAGCCCCAGGCTCACCTCCCACCCTGCAAAGACCAGAGGTGGGGCCAGGTCCCCTGCAGGTCGAGATGAGGTGGCCCCCACTCACCTATCACGCTCTCCACCTCCTCGGGGACGTCGTCCTCTCCGTCGCTGTCAGGGGTCTCGGTCTGTATCCCTGGATCTCTAGGACTCTGGACACTCAGCTGCAGGCCCGCAACCAAGGAGCGGCAGCCACGCTGGTACCTGCAAGAAGCAAACAAACACACCTCAGACCTGCTGCGACAACTTGGAGCTAGAAGATCCTGATGACTGAACTCAACAATTCAGTGTCACTATGAAAATTCCATGTGCTTTTCAGGTACAGGATGGACAGGAAGGAAACTGAGCAGTAACTGTCACCAGCATGGATTGTCAAGGAAGATGACAACCTCATCTGAGCCACAGAACATAGATTCACCTTCTAGATGACTCAGAAACCCTCACGTGTCGGAAAGCTTTCTTAGCAGAAAGGCAGGTGACAAAGCGTGACAACAAGAATGCACCCAACAGGGCTTCCCTGGTAGCACAGTGCTTAAGAACCCGCCTGCCAATGCAGGGGACACGGGTTCGAGCCCTGGTCCAGGAAGATCCCACATGCCGCGGAGCAACTAAGCCCATGAGCCACAACTACTGAGCCTGTGCTCTAGAGCCCATAAGCCACAACTACTGGAGCCTGCGCTCTAGAGCCCGTGAGCTACAACTACTAAAGCCTGTGTACCTAGAGCCTGTACTCCACAACAAGAGAAGCCACTGCAACGAGAAGCCCGCACACCGCAACGAAGAGCAGCCCCTGCTCGCCACAACTAGAGAAAGCTGGTGCGCAGCAACGAAGACCCAACGCAGCCAAAAATAAATAAATAAAAATAAATTTAAAATTTTTTTAATTATTTTTTTAAAAAAAGAATGCACCCAACAGAAATGGCAGGGAGGGCACGTTTGAACCCACTGGCCTTGGCCTTATTTCCACAGGCTCTGCCTCCAGGTCCCACCTGAGCAGAGCCCCACCCCCTGTCTCCGGGCCAGATGCCTGCCTTCCACACCAGGGGCCACAGCTGGTCCATGCCAGCTCCCACAGATCCTGCCTCCTGAATGGCTCTCACCACTTCCTGCCGCCCACACCCGCCTCCCCACCTGCTGAGGCCACCAGCATCATCTCCTGCAGCGCCATGAAGGGGCCAGCAGCACACGCCAGCTCAGCTGTCTGACTGCACAGCCCCTGAACCTCTGCCTGCCTCAGTTTCCCATCTGTAAAATGAGGCCCCACCCAGAGGGCTGTAACGAGGCCAGGCGGGAGGATGTGCACAAAGCACTCAGACCAGGCCCTGTGCAGAGAAAGGCCCAGGAACGCCTCCCCTCCTAGAAGCAGGACAGGCACGCTTGGGCCTGACTCTGGGGCAGCCCCATCTCAGGACAGGGCCTGGGGCATAAAAGGTGACCGGTCGAGTTACAGCATGATTACTGGGGGCCACAGCCTAAGGCCAAGTCCAGTTCCAGATAACTGGGGCTTCAGAGACAGAGCCAACTCAGACACTGTTTAGCTGTGGCCTTGAGGCCTCAGATTCCGTGAAACAAGGATGGTGTGGGCAGTTCCCAAGATGGAGGTTCAATCAACTGCCAATGGCCAGTGACTTAATCAACCATGACTATGCAATGAGGCCTCCAATAAAACCCAAAAGGAAGACTCCCCTGGAAGTCCAGTGGTTAAGACTCCGAGCTTCCACTGCAGGGGGCGCAAGTTTGACCCTTAGTCTGGGAACTAAAATCCCGCTTGCCACATGGCCGGACCAAAAAAAAAGGAGTGGGTTAGGACAGCTTCCAGGTTGGTGAACACAGGGAGAAGCAGGAAGGGTGGGGAACTCAGAGGGCATGGAAGCCTTGTGCCCTCTCCCCAGGCCCTGCCCTCTGCATCTCTTCCACCTAGCCGTTCCTGAGTTATAGCCTTGTATAATAAACCAGTAATCTCAAATAAAATATTTCTCTGAGTTCTATGAGCCGCTCTAGCAAATTATCAAACCCTCCAACCTGTAGCCAGACTGTCAGAAACACAGGTGACAACCTCGACTTGCAATTGGGGTTGGCAGAGGGAGGAGAGGTGTTGAGGCGGGGGGAGACAGTCTAGTGGGCTGAGCCCTTAACCTGTAGGATCTGGTGCTGTCTCCACAAAGACAGAGTCAAAACTGAGTTACACAGTAGGACACCCAGCTGGTGTCTGACAACTGCCTGGTGTTGGTCTGGAAAAGAACACACATCAGAGTTGTTGTCAGAATCAGAGCAGCAACAGGTAACTGAACCAAGGAGAACGTCACCAGGCACCACAGGATTGTGGTCAAGATCATAAAGCTCCCGGCAAGAAGCAGGCACTGGGCAACGACTGTCGACACTGTTACTGTCCTCCAGTGAAGACACACGAGGACTCTACCTCACAGAAAAAGTTCTCGATATCGTCCAGCAACCAGGGACCAGACAGGCTGCCACTGGACTTTCCCTCCTGACTTAACCACAAATCTAGACAAAGTGTATATACCAACCGCTGGCAGGCACAAGATGACAACCAAGGCATGGCTACAATCCCTCAGAGCAGGGAAGCCCCCAGGTGCACCCAACTTCCCCTCTGCTTCCTCCCAAAGGCACTTTCTAAACCACGGCACAGAAAAGTACAGCCCGAGCATAGCCGCCGTCCTGCTGGGCAAAAAAAAGAAATCTTGACTAGTGAGATGGCTACTAAGTGGGGATTGACGCTGAAGGAAGGGGAGCTGAAACAGCATCCCAAATTCTCCCTGGATCCTCAGGCAGCTGTGAGGCGTGTGAGACCCAGATGCGCCATCAGAGAGCAGCTGGGAGGCCAAGAGAGCCAAACAGAGTCCAGAGGGCAAGTAACGCTGGGCAGTCACTGAAGTGTGGGTCCAGCAGGAAGGACTGAAAGGCCACGCATGAGACATGAGCGGCTGCTGCAGGAGCAAGGGCCACACCCCAGCAGGGGGAACTGAGAAGGCCTGCGCCCCAGACAGCAGGAGGGGCAGTGCGGCCAGTTACCTGCCTGTCACTAAGGGGAAGGCAACCAAAAAGGGAATGAATCTAAAAGATAAAAAGGGGCTTCCCTGGTGGCGCAGTGGTTGAGAGTCCGCCTGCCGATGCAGGGGACACGGGTTCGTGCCCCGATCCCGGAAGATCCCACATGCCGCGGAGCGGCTAGGCCCGTGAGCCATGGCCACTGAGCCTGTGCGTCTGGAGCCTGTGCTCCGCAACGGGGGAGGCCACAACAGTGAGAGGCCCGCGTACCGCAAAAAAAAAATAAAAAGAAAAAAAGTAAAATGTATCCGAGGGGATAAAATGAAAAAAAGACGGAAGAGGGAGAAAACAAAGAGCAAGACGGAGACTGAACCCACCACATTAATGATCACACTCAGTGTACAGAGAGATACAGACTGAACAAAGTAACTGGGGTGCTAAATTACTCTCCTTCCCACATAAATGCTTGGAGTACTTGTGATAGTTCATTTTAACGTGTCCAGTTGACCGGGTCACAGTGCCGAGATATTTGCTCAAACATTATTCTGGTTGTGTCTGTGACCGTGATTGTGGGTGAAATTAACATTTAAGCTGTGGGCTTAGTAAAGCAGGTTGCTCTCCCCAGTGTGGTGGGCCTTGCCCAATCCACTGAAGGCCTGAGGATCACAGACAGGCTCCCTCTCCCCCAGTGAGAGGGATACTTCCTGCCTTCAGACTCAAGTTGAAACATCAGCTCCTCCTGGCCTCCAAGCCTGCCAGATGTGGGGACTTGCCAGCTCCACAAGCATAAGCCAATTCCTTATGATAAGTCTCTTTACACGCACACACCAATTGGTTCTGTTTCTCAGGGGAGCCCTAATACAGCACAGAATGTTAATTTTCCACAGCATCTGCAAAGTAACCACTAACATTTAGTCTCATAAACAACTTACAGAACAAGCTGTATACAGAACACCTAAAAGGTATTTCAGTAAAACATCACTAAAACATAACACACTTCTCTGGAATTTCCTATAATTGGAGACAAACTTAATCAAATAATTCCTCCCAAACCACACAAATGAATACGTGAAATAAAACTGAAGACTGCTAAAATGCAGTACCACCCCCAGCACACCAAACAGTCTGTTTCCGGGGGAGCCACTACTTCAAAAGAACCCTTAAGACATCGTTTCCATCCACAGGCAGAGACAGCTCTCCTTTCTGAGTAAACCTCGAGGAAGGAGCCCATGACCCAGACTGAGGTGACCAGAATGGAGCCTTCCCTACGGTGCGACCCGCCAGTGAGGCTGCCCTACACTTGAATGACAAGCACTCTCAGTGAGTGCGAAACAAGCCTTCCTTGTCATCAGTTCCACTTCAAGATTCTACCTGGAAGATGTGGGGTCAGAAAATAACCGAAAGAAAAGGTGTTCCTTTCAAAATCAGAAACACTGCTGAGACTGGGGAAAAAATGAAAGCAGGAGGACACGTCAATCAGCCCGCTGTGTCCAGCCACCTGAAACACCTAGCCCCGCGCCAGCCTCCCGACACACCCTGGTCGCGTGGTTACCACTCAGTCCACTCACCTCCACTTGGCCACCTGGGGCTTCAGGAAGGTCAGGCCCAGCCGCTGCACAAGCTTCACCCCAAGCTTCCGGAGCAGGGTCTGGTTGCTGTCGGGGAGCCTGCAGTTGTCCAGGCACTGGAGAACGGTGGCAGCTGTGAACACAGCACATCTCGCTCAGTTTGGTGGGAAGGTTTTGTGTCATCTCCCAAACCCACCAACCCCACCTGACACGCACGACACCAAAACCAGACACTTCCACAGGCCCCCCCGACCCCAGTCAGTGTGAAGGCCTACATCTACGCTGGACCCCTTGAGCTCTGCTTCATAAAGACCCTTTCACCCCATGTCATTTACTAAGTGCAGCTGGAGTCGGACCTGCCCAACCCTCTCACTGTGAACCACGGATCTGGAGATGGAACGCAGAGGAACCCAGGGAGGGAACAGTGTCCTGGGCAGAGACAGCGGGCACGTGCCTGGAGGGTGGAGCACATGCAGGCCATGAGGACCATGCAGACAGGCTTAAGCATGAGGCTGCAAGAACAGAGAGGGGTCTCTACAAGCAGGGAAACTGTGATCGGGCCCCCTTGCAGTCAAGGCTATTTGGGGCAATGAGGCGGGCATCGGGGGAAGCGGAGGCCAGGAGAGCACGCAGGACCATGTTTCGTGTGAGACAAGGAGGGGGCGTTCAAGACAAGTTGAAATGGCATCTGGGTAACTTCCCAAAAGACCCAAACGGCGCACAGTGACCAGCGTAGGTATAACTGACAGTAACTCAAGATGGACCTGGGATCTGTGTGTGCGAGTCCATCAAGGACAACGTGTGACGATGCTGAATGGCGACTGCTCATGTTCTCATGTGTGACAATGACATCAAGGTTATGTTTCCAAAAAGAGTCAACAGATGCCAGTGGAATGATAGGGTGTCTAGGTGGTGGGTGAGGGGGAGCATGGATGAAACAGGAGTGCCCATGAATTAAAAACCTGAAGCTTGTGATAGAAATATGAGAGGTCACTATACCAATCAGTCTTCCTGTATGTGTATGAAATGTTCCATGATGAAAACTTCAAGAAATAGACTCTACTACCTAAATCTGATTCATACATCTTCTAAAACATGGACTAAGAAATTTCTCTTGTTCCAGGGAGTAAGCCTTCCTGCAGCGAAAATCACTATACTGATTTTCATAAGTTGAGGTTCAATCTAAAATTAAGAGAATGAGGCAAAAAGGGCAAATGATGTAGCCATGGTGCTGGGAAGAATGCAGTTGGGCCCCCAGGAAGCGAGCCAGAAACCTCAGGGCTTCATCTATATCCCAAGGCCCCCAGGATCAAGACCAGACAGTCAGGGCATCAGGAACCCAGACCTCCTCCCTAAGAGGCCTGAGACCTAACAGTCAGATTATTAACACATACGTACATACACACACACACACAAAGAAGACTGAAAAAAAAGACCTATGATAGTATCCAAATATAGCAAGTCACAGATTTTTGTGCCTGTGAATAAACTGTTAAAGAGACACATTTGATCATAATTCAGGCAAACTCATGTCACAAACACACCCTCACTTACAAATAAACCTTACCGTAGGGTAAACAGTCTTCACGTTTTCCATGCTTAAATATTTGTGCCTTAAAAAAAAGAAAAAAAATTCTGTTAGAATTTGCAAATACATTTACAAATTTAAAACATCAATTATCAAAACAATTCATCACATCTTCCAGGATTTTTATTCTAGACACTCGCCAGGAAATAACAAGAGAAGAGTTTCTGTACATGACAAAGAAAGGAATTACAAGAGACTAGAGAGGAAATCTTCCAAAGGGGCAACGTAAACCAGAGATGCAGCGGTGAGGCCCTGCTCACTGACACACGCCCGCATTGAAGTTAAGGGTGCTGGCCTGTAAGGAGAGTAAGGAATCGTACCGGGTTTCCATGACTAGCGTGTACCTGAAGGTACCAAAGGATAAGAGTCACAGGTCGAATTATCCGACACAAAGGTAAGGCACCCACGTACTCATCCTCGTTCTGAGCCAGCAAAGGAGAAAGGGCCCCTCCTGCTTCTCACACACGTGGGGCCGGCAGGCTGTCAAAACCTCAAATACCCGGAGTCCTCAACCTGAAATTTTACCCTCCACTTTCAACTCTGCAAGACTTGGGTATCCAAGCCCTTAAACGAAGAACCCTAAAGCTAAGCAACTCTAAGAAAACAGCTAAGGAACTTCTTCTCCTTCAAGAATTACTATTTGGGGCTTCCCTGGTGGCGCAGCGGTTGGGAGTCCGCCTGCCGATGCAGGGGACACGGGTTTGTGCCCCGGTCCGGGAAGATCCCACATGCCGCGGAGCGGCTGGGCCCGTGAGCCATGGCCGCTGAGCCTGCGCGTCCGGAGCCTGTGCTCCAAAACGGGAGAGGCCACAACAGTGAGAGGCCCGCGTACCGCCAAAAAAAAAAAAAATTACTATTTAACTGGCAAGGTGAGACCACTTCTGTCTTAGACCATCTGAAGGTACGTGGGCCCAACCGCACTGGACCCCGTCCCCCGACACCAGGTCCTGCTGGTGAGGGAGCTGCTCAGCCAAGGTGAAGAGAGTGAACACCATCCCAGACACTTAGTCAGTGGTGTTTCACATGGAGACCAACCACTCCGGGGCCCTGGACACTCTGAGGCAGGCTCACAGGAGAACAAGACACAGGGCTCAGACCCACAGGCCCAGGACATCCCAACACTCAAAGCACCATGGAACCTCCCAGCCAGTGGCCCATGGCTCCACCGCCTCTCCCAGCACACGTGATAAGTGCCTCACCTCACCAGCCCTGCTCTGGCCCTCTGCTGCAAAAGCCCCTTGGCAGAAGTCATGCTCTCCTTCGTGCTTTCTGCCCTTCCTCTCCCCGCAACAACTCAACCCCAAAACCATGAGCCAGCCATCAGATTAGGAAGTTCAGGACATTTCATTCCCCCACAACTTTCCATGACCCACACTACAAGTGGAGAAGGACCCCCGGACGTTCACGGGCCACATCTGAAATATCCCCATTTCATGACTGGTAAACCACTCCCAAAACACTTGAAATGTTTGTCTTTACAATCTGGGTTTATGAGGAGGGGGAAAGTCACCTGCATCCCCTAGCTTCTTCCTGGTGAACTTTTTTTTTTTTTTTTAATTTATTTTATTTTTGTCTGCACTGGGTCTTTGTTGCTGTGCGCGGGCTTTCTCTGGTTGCAGCGAGGGGGGGCTACTCTTCGTTGTGGTGTGCAGGCTTCTCGTTGTGGTGGCTTCTCTTGTTGTGGAGCACGGGCTCTAAGCGTGCAGGTTCAGTTGTTGTGGCACGTGGGCTCAGTAGTTGTGGCTCAGGGGCTCTAGAGCGCAGCCTCAGTAGTTGTGGCACACGGGCTTAGCTGCTCTGCGGCATGTGGGATCTTCCCGGACCAGAGATCAAACCCATGTCCCCTGCATTGGCAGGCGGATTCTTAACCACTGTGCCACCAGGGAAGCCCCCTGGTGAACTTTTAAAGGAGTCAGGGAGGTGGCTTGGTGGAAAGGAGGGAGAAAACCATCCTGCAGCCAGATGAGTCTGAGCAGGACGTGTGAGCCCCAGGGTGAGCCACCCACAGCCCTGGGCACAACGCCCGCCACCCTCCTCCTGCAGCAGAGGCCACGAGAGCAACCCCATCCACTACGCTGGCCATCAGCCTCCTGCCCCGACTGCCACAACAGGACCAGTGGACTGGCTCAGAAGGACAGACACCCAAGCTGGTGGCCGTGGAGCTGGTCTGGGACCAGGAGTAAGGAAAGGGCGGGCCGCACCATGCAGCCCACTGCCGTCCGTCACCTGCCTCGATCCCTCCAGCTCCGCTGCAGCCTCCGTGCAGGCCACTGCCGTCCCTCACCTGCCACGCATCCTTCCAGCTCCGCCGCGGCCTCCCCCAGGAGCTAGGCCAGGCCTCCATACAGGACTCAGACAGTCCAGACCCCAGCAGTAAAGCTTACAGAACAGACCACTGTGGTTAGATATCTCTAACTTTAAAAAAACTAAATGTCAGGGTTCACATAAACAACCTGGATGCAACGGTCTCAGCTCCAAACTGCCTCACATACAAACCAGGACAGAGAACCTGGCCGAGGATGGGGCTTCACCGAGGGTCCAGCTCCTCCTCCAAGCAGGAGGCCCAGCCTGCAGGGCTGAGGGGGCGTCTCAGGGCTGGCCCAGCCCAGATCGCAGTGCCAGCGTGCCCTGCGGACACATACCACCTCCCCTCTGTTTTCGGGGCACAAAGCCATCCACACGGCCAGTGCCACTGCACACAAAGACAACCGGTGCCACAAGGAAACAGCTGACAATACGACAAGCACACAAGTTATAAAAACCACTCAGGTCTCAGTCAACTTTCAAAGTTATAGTAATTATACGCTTAAAAACACAAATAAATGTCTTGGTATAAAAATAACTAACATAAATTTTGCCAAATTTTCTAAAACTGTGAAGCACACTCTAGTACGCCAACAGCTCTATGGTAGAAAATACCACCAGGAAGACTTACCGTCTCAGCTACTGAAGCACCAGAATCATTGCTGTCCTTTCTGAACCCTGCCCACCCCAAGCTCCGCGCTGAGTCCGGGCAGCAAGAGGGGAGGCCTTGCCACACCCAGCTGCATGGCGGGCAGACACGGCCAGATTAACAGACATGAATGCACAGTTAAGCATCACTGAACTCAAAGTACCCACTCTGTGTTCTCTTCCAGTGGATACTACAATCAGAATTACTATCATGTGGGAGACAACAAAACTTTTTGTTTTAAAAAGAAGTCCTCAAAATGGTATGCTGATTATGTAGAATACACACTGAAGTATTTACAGGCAGTGGAGTGATTTAATTTAAAACAGTTCAACAACACAAGTGTGTGGTTGTATATTTTATTTTAATATACACACGTGTGCACATGTGCACACACACACACATGTATACATAAAAATAAAGGCAGGGATTCAAGGACTTCACAAAAGAGCCTAAAGAAACTAAAAGGATAACAAAGGGATTTTATAAACAACTTTACAACAACAAATTAGACGGGACTTCCCTCGTGGCGCAGTGGTTAAGAATCTGCCTGCCAACGCAGGGGACACGGGTTTGAGCCCTGGTCCAGGAAGATCCCACATGCCGCAGAGCAACTAAGCCCGTGTGCCACAACTACTGAGCCTGCCCTCTAGAGCCCACAAGCCACAACTACTGAGCCCTCATGCCACAACTACTGAAGCCCGAGCGCCCTAGAGTCCATGCTCCAAAACAAGAGAAGCCACCACAATGAGAAGCCCGCACACCGCAATGTAAGAGTAGTCCCTGCTCGCCGCAACTAGAGAAAGCCCGCGCGCAGCAACGAGACCCAACACAGCCAAAAATAAATAAATATATATATATATTTATTTAAAAAAAAAAATTAGACAACCCAAAGGAAGTGGACAAATTCCAAGACAAATTCCAAATAAGCAAAAATGGCTTAAGAAATAGAAAATCTGAATAGACTTGGATCATGTAAAGAAATTTAAATTAGTACTTTAGAATCTTTCCATAAAGAAACCCCCAGGCCCACATGGCTTCACTAATGAATTCTAGCAAACATTTAAGGAAAAACTACATCCTACATAAACTTCAAGAAAACAGAGGAGGAACAGTTCCCGGTCCTCGCCTGATACAAAAGCCACAGACATCATAGGAAAACCGCAGATCAATGTCCCTCATGAACAAACATATAGAAATCCTTAGGACTTCCCTAGTGGCGCAGTGGTTAAGACTCCACACTACCAAGGCAGGGGGCCTGGGTTCGATCCCTGGTCAGGGAACTAGATCCCACATGCATGCTGCAACTAAGAGTTTGCATGCCACAACTAAGGAGCCGGCGAGCCGCAACTAAGACCTGAAGCAACCAAATAAAATAAATAAATTAATTAATTAAAATAATTTCTTTTTTATATCCTTAACAAAATACTAGCAAAATGAATCCAGGAACATATTAAATGGATTTTACTCCATGACCAAATGGGATTTATTCCCCATTTGCAAGGAATGCAAGGCTGGTTTAACATTCAAAAATTGATTTATATAATACATCGTATTAGCAGAACAGAGAACAAAAACATACAATCAGCTCAGTAAAAGCAAAAAAAGCACCTGACAAAATCCAACATCCATTCATGATGAAAGTTCCCCATCAACTACAAATAGAAGGGAACTTCCTCAACATGATAAAGAGCATCTATGAAAACCCACAGCTGGTATCATACTTAATGGTAAAAGACTGAACGCTTTCCCCTAAATAAATAGCAAGAAATCGCAACAAATTTTCGATTGAGTGGTGAGAAGGTGCTCCACACTAGAAGTGGGGCTATAAGAGGAGGATCCAGCTTGTCCCAGATGACCCTGAGGGGCTCCACAGAGTCAGCAAAAACACAGAGCAGAATCTTCCAGAAGGGTGGAAGGGAGTCTAAGCAATCAACAATATTAAGACCATATTAAGGGCTAGTGAAGAACAGAAAAAGATAAGCAAAATACAAGAAAATCAAAACTGTACAAGTTGTGGTCCACATGTGAAAGAAACAAAAACAAGACAGGATTCTGATCAACGGGAATGTTAG